ACACTAATCACAGTCAAAAGAAGCATAGGAACATAGTTGAGATAAAAAACAGTGTTTTATGAATTGGATAAACAGTGTCCTGTTTACTGAAGCAGTGCTAAAAACATTATAAATGTCTTCCTTGCTTCAGTTTACCACACAAAATATGTACTTACTATAAACATCACAGAATGGTTTGGTTGGAAGGGACCTTTAAGATCATCTAGTTCCAACACCCTGCTATAGGCAGGGACACCTCCCTCTAGACCAGTCTACTCAAAGCCCCATCCAGCCTGGCCTTTAGTGCTTCCAAGGAGATGACATCTGCAACCTCACTGGGCAGCCTGTTCCAGTGTCTTCAACAAGGCCAAAAGTGAATACCTTGGGAAGAATGTAAACCTTAGGTAAGCATTCCCTAATCCTCTCCCAGTCTATAACAATATGCAAATAGGAAACTGCCGTAGCCAAGGGCAGCGTCTGTCTATTTGCTCACTAGAAGGTGGCCAATGATGAATTTTTTAAATGAATTTCTTGTTTAAATGGTGTAAACTTCTAGCATTCACATGTGGCAAACTTAAGTCACATTTTGTGAAGAATGGTTTGGGTTTTTTTGTCTATCTAGGATTAGCTGCTTTCTGTTGTCCTTTGATAGCAACCACCTGGTTTTTGTATTGGTCTACTTAGTGAAGTCTTTTTCCAAGCCACTCATAATTTTATTGGCATTTCTCATACTCCACACTTGTCTTTTCCTTCCTGGCCTGAACATCCACCAACCTGGTTAATTATCTCGTAGTTACCACTTGTTGCAGGTGGTGCTAACTGAATAGAAAGAGTGGATTTTTTTTTTAATTAAGGTCCATAAGAATAAGAATAGGTAGAAATGAACAAAGTTTTGTTCAATTATTGAGATACTCTTGAAAACAGGATGCAGCTGAATAGGGAAGAGTTCAAGATGCTGAAGCTAGAGTACAGATACAGGAATATGGAGCAGTCATACCAGTCACTGCTGTAGAAGTGTTTCTGAGGGTTGTGGTGCATGCAGTTGTTGCTGTTCATAGAGGACATGCATGTAGGAACTGCTATAGTGAATTAACACAAAATCAGCTAATCCTGCTCTGCTTGACGGTGTAGATTATTTGCTCTCGTTGCATTTTAGAGGAAAAATGTGACCTCAAATGAAAATAGTGAGTAAAAAATTAGTGATAGTTTAACTTAGTAAGAAGCTGCAGGTGGAAACTGGCAAAAATTAAAGGAACGATCTGTTTCTCATTTTTATCATGCATAAAGCAAAAAGCAAAAAGAGCTTAAATGACAGCAGAGAAGCTTCAGGTTAGCTGCTGGCAGGAAGTGAAAGGACTGGAAGAGATTGTTAGATTGATTATGGAAACTGTATCACCACATTTTTTTTAAAGAATTTGGAAAAATGTCAGACATAATTAATTAGGAATAATATATGTTTTATTTACACAGTTTTTATCCACCCACACATATATATTTCCTTGAACTGAGTAAACATTGTTCCTTGGAGACGCCATTGTAATTTACAGGGTCGCAGAAGAATAAAGAGAGCAGTTTAACAGGAAAGAGGATCAAGTGGAATAATGTTCATAGTTGTCCATAGGAATAGCCATTATTTGACTGTTACTTTCCCTCACCCATGGCTTGACTGGATTCTATTTCCTTGCTGTATCAAACTGCTTCCTATTCACACAGAATGGTACTGCTGATGAAGTAGGCAAATATGGAGTGTGTGAAAGCCTTTCCTGAGTGTGTTGCAGTCATTATGACTTTGAATTTTGAGCGCAGAAAGCATGCAAAGACAACCAAATGCATTCACTTTAACATATAAATAAGTGTGAACAGACTTCTTTGTTGTTGTTGTTGTGTTCATCCATGCAATAATAATTAGTATGCAGCTATGCTTGAATAATGGCGTATCATTCCAGTGAAGATGTTCCATCTTTTGGATGTATGTATCAAAGAGAATTTGGTTAATTCACATTGACTTTTGCTGTGTTTTATAGCAGTGGCTGAAACAGACAAATGGAAAATAGACTAGATTAGGAATGGTGGTTGCAAAATTCACTGTTTAATTGTAAACAAGGAAAACCGTGCAGTCCAGAACCTGTGAATGTGATTGTTATGAAAAAATGCATTGTTTCCACTAAAAATCTAAAAGACGAAGCAAACATTAGTGTAATAAAGACTGTGAATTATATGGGAATGGCTTAGTTTATACAGCTATTGGAAAAGAGTGTTTTCTTTTATAATTCTAGAATGTTATGGTGATTTTTAAGCAGGTGAGCAATTAAAAAAATTCTAAGGTTTAATTATTAGATAAGTGTAAAATAACTAGATAAGTGTAAAATAATGTGCATAAGAAATTATTATTTAATGCAAATACATATGACGTAAAATTACTTGCTTAAAAGTTTTGCAAAGGAATAGTGAATAAGGTGATGCTACAGTGAGGCTCTACATTGAAGTCTGTTGCTTATCCTGAATTGTATATGCAGTGAATACTCGTTCTTTCTGTATGAGGACAGGGGTTGTAAATGCTAATGTATGTCTGATCTCACGGCTGTCCATAGCAGGCACATCTTTACCAGAAATATTAGTACTTTTAATAGTTGCTTCCCCTGTATTTTCCTTGTTTGCAGTATGCCAAAACTGGAGATAAAGTAATGGTCATATTGCACAGATGTAGGACAATACTTTGCAAAGCTAGGATATAAAATCTGAAAGCCTTCACTTCTGGGCCTGTCCACACATGTTTGCTATAAACACTGATGACATTTTCAAGTTCCTACAGTTGGTATCTACCACAGAATGACCGTGTGGTTATTGCCATCATTACTGCCTATGCACTGAAGACTTGTATATGTGGATTTCAGTTCCTACAGGCCCTGCATAGGAAAAAATTGTCAAGCATCAGGCTGCCACTGGGAATACATAAAGCAACTTTCTCTGTCTCTCTCTCTCTTTTTTTTTTTTTTTTTTTCCCTTTCCCTTTCAACCTCGTACGAAAGCTCTGTGCTATACTGGGTAAGAATTATGAATTGCAGTGTATAATTCAGAATTCTTTATATTGTGTCTAAGAGACAGGAAAACAGAAATTTGTTTGTAGTACCTTATTAGTATTTTAGTGTAATCTATTTGTAGAATTGTTTTATAGCCTTGGATTTTTTCTGTAGTTGCATTGAGAAACTACACAGCAAATGATCAGATTAAGGTTTTCCTTAAAAATATCTATAAGAAGCAGGAAAGATTCATTCTCATTCTAGTATTGAATTTCAATGTAGGCTAGAATAAAAAATAAAATCTCACAAAGTAGAGGCTCTATTTTATTTTACTGAACAAGAGTAATCTTTTTTATAGCAAATAGAAAAAAAATAATTAAATTAATTAATTAAAACAATTCATTAATTATAGACAAACAACAACAATTACAACAAAAAAAGAGAATCCACAAGTGAGTGATCTGCTGAACTTTCAGTTTGAAGGGAGATAAGGAAGTAGTTCCCCACAAATTTTTCAGTTGAATCAGAGTCATATTCTTTTCAAGAGTCTGGAGGTGTTATTCATCCCCTACAATGTAAGCTTCCTACTCCTGCAGAACTGCAGGAATTTACCCATTCTTGAATGAATGTTCCATTTTGAATATTTTGTATGCTGCTTGGATCATTCATTTAAATTTTCGTGAGCTTGCCAACTTAATTTTCTCATCTTGCATCCCACTGTCATGTTTAAAACTAAAGCATTCTATTGGTCAGTAGCTCATGACAATGGTTGGCATGCTCTGCATATTAAGATCAACATTAATAGCAGAAAAGATTACCCATTTCCTTGTGGAGTTTAAAATGAATCAAAGGAAGAGATAGACTTTTCTTTCACTGGTTTGTAAGAAAGGATCTAAAGAGAAACCGTGTGGAAGAGGCTGCAGTGCTATAGAATTAGCTGTAATTGTGTCCCATTTAGCTTCTGTCTGGTTTTGGTAGGAAAAGATTTCATTCAATGAAGTGTGAGAACCCCACAAAGATACAGCCGATTGAGTAAAAGTGTTAGTTTTGCAAGGATCAGTTTTACTTACGCTCCAACAGTCAAATGGAAAAGTCCTGTGGATTTTTAGTATAATCCTATTGACTTGTTTGCTGATTGAGTCTCTGTAAAATTACGGACAGTAAATATTGAAAAAGCCACTCAGTTCTGCAGGAGTAGCCCCTTTATGGCCATTTCTCCTCTCTTGATGCAGAAACTACCTGTTTCTGCTCCTTTGCATGCCAGAAAGGTTTGTTATTCTAAGCCTTTAGATTTTTGGATTTAAGAGTTCTGGTGAACTGGAACCTGGAATAAGTGGGGTTCAATCCTAGGTCTCTTGTGTTTAAAGCAATGAACCTCACTTCTGTACACCTCCGTAATAACATTAACTACATTAAAATGGCACTGTATGAAAAAATATGTTAGTCTGTGATATTGGTAGGTAAGGCGACATGTTATCTGCTTAAATTGCGAAGAAAATTCATTAGTTGCAAGGAAGTACTTTGTTGTTAGGGTAAGTCTTTCTCAAAAGAAAGTATCAAACACAGAATGTCTTTCATTATTTGAATTGAATCAATGGCTTATGAGACAGTGCTTTCTTCCTAACTTTTATTAAGCTAATTATGCATCATTTTATTGTGTTTTACCATAGTAGGTTTCGTGGCAATTCTAGCCTTTCTGTTGCAGTACTAGCTGAATGCTTTTTCATTTGGTTTTGCCTTCAAAGAGATTCTGTAACTTTATTCAAGAGTAGTATTTAAAACTTATTTTTCTTCAGCTCTTTTGAATTGTCAGTCTTTTTGTTATTATGTTCTTTTTTTTTTTTTTTTTTTCTGTAAGGAAGTGCATTGCTTTTAAGTGGCAGGTTGTATGCCAGTACTGAACTGTATTAGCAATTTACATGTACTTAAGATCAGTTTAGTAAGACTGCTTTGTAACCAGTCAATAAAGCTCACTTGTTTCTACACTGTTTTTATTTTTAGGAATGTTGTCTCTGCAATTTGAGAGGTGGTGCATTAAAACAAACTACTGACAAGAAGTAAGTAATAAATTCTTTGAGATTGCACATTTTTGTTTAAAATTTTTTCGTAACACATTCTCATGTACTGAGCATTTGTAATCTTAATTACTTGACAGTGTGCTTTTAAGATGAATCTGTGCAGAATTAAAATTACTCCCCCTGAAATGCGTCATTGGCATTTTGTGAAATAGTTAGATGCTAAAATGTGTATTTGTTTTAGTATTTGCACACGCTTACTTGTTGCAAATTCTATTCTGCTTGTCGTTGTGTAAAGAAAGCAAATGAGATCTCATTTGTCATTGCTTGCATGAGAAAATCTTATCAAACAGTGAAGTGTAGTTTATTCTTTAGCACTGAAAATTTGTTATTAGTAAATTTATACAGAACCTTTGAACTTCTCCTAGAAACAATATTTTAAATTAATTAATCTGAATCACTGAATCACAGAATCATCAAGGTTGGAAAAGACCTACAAGATCATCCAGTCCAACCATCCACCTATCACCAATAGTTCTCACTAAACCATGTCCCTCAACACAATGTGCAAATGTTCCTTGAGCACCTTTAGGATCGGTGACTCCTCCACAGCCCATTCCAGTGCCTGACCACTCTTTCAGAGAAGTAGTATTTCCTAAAGTCCAGCCTGAATCTCCCCTGGCGCAGCTTGAAGCCATTCCCCCTGGTCCTATCACCAGTTACACGAGAGAAGAGGCTGATTCCCAGGTCACTACAACTTCCCTTCAGGAAGTTATAGAGAGCATTAAGGTCTACCCTGAGCCTCCTCTTCTCCAGGCTGAACATTCCCAGCTCATTCAGCCTCTCCTCATATGGCCTGTGCTTCAGACCCCTCACCAGCTTTGTTGCCCTTCTTTGAACACACTCCAGGGCCTCAATGTCTTTCTTGCAGCGGGGGGCCCAAAACTAGACACAGTAGTTGAGGTGCTCACTAGAGCTGAGTACAGGGGGACAATCACTTCTCTGTTCCTGCTGGCAACACTGTTCCACTTTTACAGCCAGTTCAGGTCCCTCTGGATGGCTTCCCTTTCCTCCAATGTATTGACCATACTATTCAGCTTGGTGTCATCTGCAAACTTGCAATGGCCCTCGGTGCCGTTGTCCGTGTCATTGACGAAGATGTTGAAGAGTACTGTCTTAAGAACGATCCCTTCAAGAGGTACACCGCTTGTGACTGGTCTACACACTAAAGACATTCTGTAACTATACATACCGCTGAGGTGACTGGCCTTCTGGCTTATGCGATGGAAGGCAGCTAAGGAACATTTGTCACTGTTTTGGTTGGCCTTGCTTATTTCACGAGCTAGTTCAATGGCATGAGCATTTCCATTTTGGACACCATACCCCAAGCCCTTCTGTTTTGAAGCCCACCTCAATAAGTTTGCCAGCCCACTGCTGAAGATAGCCCTGCCTTTTCTACACAGACATATCCCATCTATCCATAATGTGTTGTAATCCTCATAGAAATTCCCATTGTCATGAAAACTGTGAGTGTTGTGTCAGCACCAGCCATATATCTGGAATTTGGACAGGCATTATATGTCAATTTCTGGCTGCCCTCTTTCCTCCAGCTGGCAAAATTGAGAAGGTAACCTGGGCACCAGTCTTTTTCACTTGCACTCCCATGGCTTTATACTATTCTTTAATTCTGCCCATATTCCAGCTTCCAGTGTCATTCATGCCCACAGTAAAAAGGAGCAGAAAATAATAGTCTATGCTTTAGACAATCTATTGCACACTGTTTCCAGTATCCCATATCTTGGCTCCTGAGAGGCAGCAAAGCAATCAAGACCCTGTCACGCCGACAGAAGGGACCCTTCATGCCTTTTAAGGGAGAGTCACCGACTACAAGCACTCGGTGTTTCCTTTTATGATGTCCTCTGTAAGCTGTTAATATGACTTCTCCTTGCAGACCTTGGTCATGGGTTTGCATAAGCTTAGTATCTGCTTTTAGTAGTGAAGTTAGAAGGTGGGGGCTGAAGGGGAGCTCTGCTTTTGTGTATCACCAGGGGCTAAAGTGCCTCCTCAGTATTATCCAGTCCCGGAATATGGTCCTTAAACCAGCTCTCTTTCTCAGGATCTCTAATGCTATGCAGCTTTTTAACTGCTTCTTGCAACTCAGCCACTAGTCATAAACGATCATTCGCCTGTGCACACCTTGGACAGGTACTTACCTTAACACCAGGAGAAGGTTCAAAGCATTTGGTGCAACGAGCTGCTTTAACCTAAATCTCCTTTCTCACCTGTTCATTCTGGGTAAATATATCAGGTATCTCTGAGGATTTTCTCGCAGGGGCACTGATTTTAACCCTCAGGTGAGTGCCCACCTCCATACTCACAGAAATCAGGAGCACTTCCCTGGTTGTGAATCTGCATGCAAGGTACAGAACCCTGCCTGAGCGAACTGCAGCAACAGAGTGCTGTTCCTCGATGAGAAGAAAGTGTTCCGCATCTTCTGTTTCCTACATGTCCTACCCGCACAAACTGCCATGCCACACCATGCCCTTAATGATTTCCATGCCCTTGTCACCATGCCCCTGGTCACTCTAACTCCCTAGGGTCTGTCTCTGTGTGTGTGGAGGATTGCACCATCACTTCTCACCCTGCCCATGCTGTATCAGAGCTGTTCCTCATCAGTGCTTCTCCCTTCCTGGTCAGGTAAGGCTGGGGCTCCTATCTCTCCCTGTGCTTCTCTCTTTGTGGTTTTTACCATGGTTCTGCCTTGCTGGAAGGAGTCTCCCAGCTGCCTCCATTCTGGAGCTGATCCTATCAAAGTTATCAACATTATCCTCATCCTAAATCCAACATGCAGCACCATAACATCTACTAGGGAGAAAGTTTCCTGTATCCCATCTGAAACTGGAACAGTAAACGAAACAGATAAAATGGGGAGTGGTGCAGTTTATTATTATTTTTAATCCCAGTATTGGAACACTCTTCATGTATTTTGAGTCTTCATTGAACCTGTTGCATTCTTTTAGTAACTTAGCAATATCTTGTAAACCTCTTTCTTTAACCCTTAGAACTGCAGCGTGATTGTTCAGCAGTGTGATCATTCCACTTATCAGGCCAGAATTTGTTAGCGATTTGCAACTGGTTGCATAGTATTTTTTTTTAGTGTTGTAAATAGTTGGGTGAGGAGAATGTTGCATGTGGAATTTATGGATCAGATCTTAACTTAAACAAACATTAATTCTGTTGACATATTAATGGAGATTTTGACCAGCACTTGCCAATACTCAGTACTCAGCTGGCTTTTAGATCTGTTCTTAGCTCTCCTAAATAGTTGTTTGCTACCTGCTTTTTCTAACTTGAGAAAAAGGAAATTACATCAAAATAGAATTTGTGATGTCCTTCTGATATTTGGAGCTATTGGATTGCATCTTTGAAAACAGAGAAATCTTTGTTGTAGGTCAATTAAAATATTGTAGAAATAGGTTACAAGATTTAGCCATAGGAATAAAAACCACTACAGGGAGCTTCAGAAAGTGTCTTCCTCTTTGTAATTATTCCTGAAGTCTTCAGTTTTGCATTTCATCCCTCTGGGTTTCTATTACAGATTTCTGTAATGTGCTCTGTAAAAGTAGTTAACTTCTTGTTTTCCTGTTTCCATAACACATTACACTTGCTATACAGTGTCTAGTTTTCACTTTCCTCAGTATTCTATCTTTGAGCGTTATCTCCTATTTTTAACTTCTGAAAGTTTTCAGAAGTGTGTTCCAATTACTATTTTGTTTTCTCCATCAAGTATAAAATCCAACTCTGAGGTATTTTCTGTGTACTGAGATTCCTTCTTCTCAGGTGAACACAGCAATTATTTCAAGTCCTATTATGTTGAGAGAAGTCAGAGTATAAAGGGCTGTGTTAAGGTTTATTGAAGAGACATTTTATTTATAGCGTTTCTGTCCACATAAAGCTTAGATGGTAAGACACCTGTTATTAAGAGTGCAATTTTGCAGGCAGGCATCAATGAAAGAAAAATGTTATTAAAAGAAAAAAAAAGTGTGTATGCCCTTTTAAAGCATGTGAACAACAAAAAGAGCACTGGAAGTAACATTGTTCTGCTACTTAATGCTATTCACAAGTTGGGACACAAAATTGAGACTTTTATGCCCTCTTTGCCTCTGTCTTCAATACCAGTGATGTGCACTACAGGTCCTACGAGGTGGAGGATTGTGACTGCTCTAACAGTAAACTCCCAGCCAACCCAGATTTGTGCAAGATTTTCTGCTGGATGCATACAAGTTTTTTGGGCCTGGAAGAATTGATCTCAGAGAGCTGGCTGATGTCACCTTTGCTCTTCTAGCTATTTTTAAATGGTGTGGGAAATATGGAGAGGTCCCAGTAGATTGGAAGCTGGCAAATGTTATGAAAATACCAGTTTTGAAGAAGAATAAGGAGAACTCTATAATTGCAGGCCTGTCAGTCTCACTTCAATGCTTGGCAAAATTATGGAGATTATTCTGGGAGTTACTGAAAAACACCTGAAAGACAATTGGAGAGTTACAGAATGGCTTGGATTGAAAGCTGCCTTAAATATCATCTACTTCCAACCCCTCTGGCATGAAATGGGGCATTCATTGCATACACAGCTTCTCTGTGTAACCCGTGTCAGTGCCTCACCATCTTCTCAGTAAAAGTTTTCCTTACAACATCTACCCTGAATCTCCCCTTTTAGTTAAGAACCATTCCTCCCTTGCCCTATCTCTATCAGGTCTTATAAAAAGTCTCTTTCCTTTTCGTAAGGTGCCTTTAAGTGTTAGAAGGCCTCAGTGAGGTCTCCCCTGTGCTTGTCTCTTCTCCCTGAGCCTAGCTCCCTCAGCCTTTATATTTTTAAGAGAGATGCCGCAGCCTCCGATCATCTAAATGATTCCAGCCTCCTCTGGATCCACTCCAACAGCTCTGTATCCTTCCTTTACTGGGTGAAGCAGATCTGGACACAGTACACTGAATGAGGCCTCGGAAAGGCAGAGCAGAAGGGGAAGGTCACTGCCCTCACCCTGCTGGCATCCCCTCTTTTGATGCACCAGAGGATACAGTTGGTCTTCCAGGTTGCAAATGCACACTGCTGGCTTACTTCCAGGTTTTCGTACACCAGGACTCCAAAATCTTTCTCAGCAGAGCAGCTCTCAATAAGTTCTTCTCCCAGTCTGTTCTATTGTCTGGGATTGCCCTAATGATGACAGTGACATTGCTGTCATTGGTCCTAACCAACACGAGTTCGCGAGGGTTTTGTCTTTATTAATTAAGGGTCTTAATTTTTTATGCTGTGATGAGGTTGCCCATCAGGTTGATCTAAGGAATCCAGTAGATGTGAACTTCTTGGATTTCAGGAAAGCTTTCTGTACTGTCTCTATTAGTATCCTACTAGAGAAAATGTTGAGTACACATCTAGACAAAAATAAAATGTTATGAGTGAACAATTGGCCTGCAGGTTGGGCTTGAAGCATTATTGGGCTCAAAGCATTATGAGGTCACATTATGAGGCTGATGGCCAGTCATTAACAGTGCTCCCGAGGCTCTTTTTGAGGGCCAGTTTTCTTCAATGTTTTTCTGTTTTTTGAACACAAGTCTCAAATGTGTACTAAGTAATTTTGTGGACAATGCTAAATTGAGAGTTGACTCCCTCAAGGGTAGAGAGCCCTTGCCGAGGAATTTTGACGTATTTCAGGACTAGACAATCACCAAGCATATGAAATTAAGAAAGAGCTAGTGTTCAATTCTGCCAGGTCACAGCAACCTTGGATATAGACTGAGCGGTCAGAGGCTGGAAGGCAAGCCCATGGGAAGGGATTTGGGGGTTCTAGTTGACAGCAAGATGAATATGAGTCAGCAGTGTGCTCTGGCAGCATAAGGGCCAGCTGTACTCTGGGGAGTGGGTCAGACCCAGCACTGTCAGCTGGTGAGGAGAAAGGGTTGTCTCACTCTACTCTGCTCTGCACTCTTCGCTCTGAGCACTGTGTGCAGTTCTGGACACCACTATGCGAGAAGGACGTAAAACTATTAGAGAGCTTCCTCAGGAGGGAAACAAACATGGTGAATGGTCTATGAGGGCAAGACATGCAAGGAGTGGCTGAGGTCCCCGGGTTTGTTCAGCTCAAAGCAGAAGGAGGCTGCAGCTCCTCTAAAGGGAGCGGAAGGGCAGCGCTGAGTTCTGTTCTCTGGTCACAGTGACAGGGACCAAAGGCATGGAATGGAGCTGTCAAGGAGGGTCAGGGAGCGTTAGGAAAAGGTTCTTCACCAGGTGGGCATGGAACATGGGTGGTCCTGGGTGGAGCCAGGAGTTGGAGTCAGTGTGCCTTGTGGGTCCCTCAACTTGATATATTTTATGATTCTGTGAAAATACTGTAGGTGAAAAATTGCTTATTAATAAAACAGCCTGGCTGAGGCATGCGCCCCTGGATAGAACACCTACAAAGATATTGCACTTAAGAAATACAATATGAAAAGTATTTACTTTTTTTTTTTTTTTTCAAATAAAAATTTAGAGTCTGAAATGATGTTTACATGAAGTGTTAGTGTTGTAAATCGTGTTAACTTGTTTCAAAGAAGTCTTCTGAAATCCTTGAAGGCAAATGTCTGGATGTGGTTGCCTTGTAAAATAGAAACAACAAATTGCAGGTAATGAAACATCATTTGTATTTGTACCGGGTTTTTCTGGTAGTATTCTTGACCTGCCACTTTTCACAGGTGGGCTCATGTAATGTGTGCAATTGCCGTTCCAGAAGTCAGATTTGGTAATGTCACAGAACGTACACCGATAGACACTAGCAGAATACCTTTACAAAGATTAAAATTGGTGAGTACTATATTCATATATACTTTATGTATTCTTTGCTATTAAGATATTCCAATATTTTGAAGTGCATTCAAAATCTGAATCATTGTTGCCAGTTACAGGAATTAAACCATGTTTAAGGTTAGAAGTACGTAACTGAGGCGTTACTGATATCCACCTATTAGTTTTTACAAATAATGGCAATTCATTAACACCATTTACAATCTCTGGTATTTGTTTAAAAAAGTTTGAATCTGTCCTCCCCCAGACGAACAACAGAAAACTTGACCAGTATCAACTGTGAAAGTTCAGCTTCTGGATTTCTGCTGACAACGAAAGCACTGAGACTATGAATATCACATAGTACATATTTGTGAGATCTTTTTATTATGTATTTTTGCCTCAAGGAACAATTTGTTGAGGTAAAAAGATGTATGATCTGGTTGTCATGCAGTATCTCTACCATCTGGATATTGAGAAGCATGCATAAAACAGATCACGCATTATATTGAATTGAAAAAAAAACTCTTTCCTAAGGAATTCCGAAAGCTGTTGTAAAAAAAAGAAAAAATGTATATCCACTGCTGACATTCTAGAAGGTTGACAAAACTGGGAGACATATTCAAGAGCAATTTAGGATAATGTTCCTTGCTATGTTACAAAGAAAATTAATAAATTTGACAGAGTTTGCATCTATGATATCATCTTCTGCAAGAAGATGACTGGTGGACCACTAGAATGATGTAGGGAAATGATGTCATCAAATTTTTGCATCTGCTTTGTGCTTTTTCAGAAATATTTCTTGATTTATCTGACCATAAACTAATTTCTTGCACAGTTTACATAATATTCCTGAATGCTATTTTAGGATTTGTTTAGTTTAATATCCTCTGTGTAACAGAGGAATGGAGTGAGTGTTCTTTCATCATCCTTCCCTTTAATTTTGTTTCTCATAACTTCAAAATCTTGGATTTTTTAGTTTTTTTAATAGCATGAATGCAAATCCTCTTTTCTCTGTGACAGAAGGTATCTCAGGATCTTGTTTGAACAGGCAGCGTCTTCTTAGATTGGCAGTCCCAGATCTTTCCTAATCTGAAAATATAACCAATAGAAGCACTGAGAATTAATTCAAAGTTTTTATATGTTTTGAGGATCGTAAACAGTCACAGACAATTGTCTGTTTGGAAGTGATTGATCCGGAGGTTGAAATCACAAAAATGTGTAGTTTACCCGGTACTGAAATTCATCCTTTTATGAGATGTCCATTCCTTGAACTGTATAAGAGTAATAGATGCATTCTGGAGAAGGCTTGAATTAACTTTAGATTATTTAATGTAAAAGTATGGAATCAAAATGCACAAAATTTGTGAAGTGTGCAATTTACGATTTCTAGGTCATTTCTGCTGAGTACAAGGCAATTATGTTAATCAGTTATTTATAACTGGCAACTTTGTTTTTCCTGCAGTTGGTAGAAAGTTGGTTGCAGTCTTTTTTATTAATTCTTCAAGCCTCTTTCAGAATAAAATGACATTGAGATGCTACATATTGTCTTTAGCTACACATACCCTTTCCATCTCAAGCAAGTGCTTGATTATTTAGAAATACAGTGCTTGCTTTTAAGCAAGAGTTTATGTATTTGATTGAAATTAATATTCTGATGAAGGAACTCAGTTGGATACAGAAAAATCAGTGGTGGGGTGCTTTATAATAGCCATCAATGTACTACTGCCCCAGGTAGTGAGTGGATGGCCTTATTGTGAGGGAAGGAAGCACTGTAATCTTGGATTGAGTCATTAAACCTTACTTTTCCAAGACATTATTTCAGACATTGAATTTATAATGAAATAGCTAGGCCTGTTCTAATTTAAGGGAAGTATGCAGTTTGACAATCTCTCAAAGGCCCTATTATGATTTAATGTCAATAAATAAATAAATAGTTGTTCCTTGGTTAAAAATCTGCTCTGAAAAACACCAGTAGTCTAAGTCTGTTCTTATGTTACAGTGAATTTCATGAGTAACACTGTCGTATTTTTTTTTTTTTAATAATATGTCTTTGGTGGAATTGCATGGCTATTTAATATTTTCTCAAAATATTTTAAAGCCCCTTGTATTAGATATTTTTTGTAAATTATTTTATTTCCTTAAACACAGGGTTCATGTTTCTCTGCTACTGTCAGTAACACTGAATAAGTCAAATGTCATCCTTGTGTTAGTCTTCTTAACTGTTGATTCTGCAGAATAACATTCATGCTCTCATGCCCACTGACTTCAGGGTCTTTGCCTTGGAGAACCCTAAGCATGGTGTTATAATAGCTTTCAGAATCTGTAAGCAATTGATTCAGGACAGTTTTTCCTTTTAAAATTGCAAGTCTTGCCAGTAACACTCTTCAGCAGCCAATTCCTCTTCCATTCCTGTCCAGTTTTTTAGGTTACGGATATGTTTTTTCATCATTCTTCACCATTCAGCGCTATTGTTTTCTACATCTTTTGCTCATATTGAGTGCTTATAAGTAATGCATGTTTTAAAAACTACATTTTGGGGACTGTCTTTAAAATCTTATTCATATCAAGGCCTGTGATAGCTAATAGTTACAGTTGGTCCTATTATGTTTAGTTGCTGCCTTATATGTTTTGTTGATTTTTAATATCCACAGAAAACAACAGAAAACAAATGCAGAAGGATATAGTACATTCTAGGGTGCAGCCAAACAAGATGTAGATGTTACAATGTGAGAATAGTTCTAATTGCTTTAAGTGTTGTAAATATTTATCTGTCTGCTTCTTTCTGTATCCTTTCCTCCATTCCTTCATTACTTTCCCTTTTCTCTCTTTCCTATCTCTCACTTTCTCTGAAATAAAAAGAAAAGCAAATAAGCAGAGCATCTATTGTTTTCAGAAATCTGTAGAGACTGGGCTGACATTTTCTTTAATGTAGCATCTACTAAAGAAAATAAAAGGAAATAAAAAGTCAGTGTTTGCTTTTTGATAAATTAAAGAACATCTGTGCAAATGGAAACATATTGGTAGGTTATTTTTACTGCCTAGTTGATATGTGTAGTGATTGCTGTTAAATAGTTTTAATTCACTAGACATTTTTGGGTTGAAATCAATACGTTTTCTGTAAATCTTTCTATTATTAAATATCATATATTTCCTTCAGAGTAAATTCCATATTTGTATTTTGCATACAGTAGTTTGCTACTGCATGTAGTAGTAGCTACAAAGTTGTTTTATACAATAATTTAATATTTGCAAATTTTTGACTTTATAGAATGCCAAAACGTTTTTATATTTGCCCGTTTTTTTAGTGGGTTACATATCATGTTCTGTCATTGTTAAAAATTCATGACACACTGAAGTGCTTATGAAATGCTGAAAATGATTCTTTTCCCAATGAAAATAGTCTGAATCAATACTGATAAAAGATTTTGTTGTTGTGTTTTTTAATAAGAAAAAAAAAAATGGTGTGCTGAGATAAAACAGGTTGTATCACGCCTTGTCGTTTTGAGCTGTGTTTCCATGATATTGGTGTTATCTAACTAAGTTTGATGTGGAAGCAAAGCCTTCCACTCACCTTCAGTGTAGAGAGAAACCCACGAGGCTGCTGTCTTCTCTTTATTTTCCTCTAGCAGTAACTTTTCTCTGTTTTTGAAACTTTGTGAATGGGAAAACGAGATTATCCTGATGTCTTTTGACTGTCAGCCTGGGTATTCAGTCTGGATGGTCATATCTGACAGGCACTTTGAGTTTACATTAACTGTGTAAAATTAAAATCTGTGATTATTTAACTAGAAAGCAAGTATTTTGGATTTAAAATTCAGAGTCTTACACTCAAGTTCTAAGGTGAAATGGCTGGAAGACATACCTCACCACAACATAAATTTTAAAACATCGTATGGAAACTGCTCTGCAAACACTTTGAATCAAAGAATCATGTAGGTTGGAAAAGACCTTCAAGAACATCAGGTTCTGCTGTCAGTGTGTTCTACCAGGTCCCCAGCACTAACCCGTCTCCCTTAGTGACATGTCTGCATATGTCTTAAATATCTGCAGGTATGGCAGCTCCACTGCTTCCCAGGGCAGTCTGTTGTGATGCTTGACCGCTCTCTCTGTGAAGAGACTCCCATCTAAATCCTTTTTGGCATGATTTGAGACCATTTCCTCATGTCCTGTCACTTCTCAACTGTGAAAACAGACACCTTCCTCGCTGCTACATTCTTTCAGGTAGTTGCAGAGACCTTCAGAAGTTCCCTCTGCTGCTTCTCATAACTTTTGTTTTCTAGTACTTTTTCTGGACTTTTTAAGTCTTCTCTGCACAAGCTAGAGCAACTCAGTAGCCTTCTTGTAGTGAAGGACCGCAAACTGAGCACAGTGTTCAAGCTGTAGTCTCACCTGTGCCAATTACAGAGGGACGATCATCTCTCCAGTCCTGCTGATCATACTATTCCTTATGCAGGCCACAATGCTTTGGCCTTCTTAGTCATCTGGACACACTGCTGGCTCCTGTTCAAGAGGTTGCCAATCAACATCTCCAGGTCCTTTTCTGCTGGGCAGATTTCCAGCCACTCTTACCCCAGCCTGTAACATTTATGGTGTTTTTGTGACTCAGGTGCAGGACCCAGCACTTGGCCTTATGTGTCTGGACTCAGCCCATTGATTCAGCCTACTCAGATTCTTGTGCAGTGCTTTCCTGTTCTCAAACAGATCAACAGTTCTATCTAGCTAGGTATTATTTGTGAGCTTTCTGAGGGTGTACTCAATTCACACTGTCCAGATCACTGATAAAAATGGTAACCAAAACTGGCCCTGGTACCGAGCTCCTGGAAACATCACTGGTGTCAGCTGCTAACTGGTTTGAGCTTCCTTCACAATGGTTCTTAGAGCCAGTCCTCCCAGCTAGTTCTTCACCCAGCAAACTATACACATCTAAGCCACGAGTAGCCAATTTCTCCAGAAGAGTGCTATGGGAAACAGTGTCAAAAACTTTATTAAAATCCACATATATAACGTCTGCAGCCTTT